GTCGTTGAAGAAATAATTAGTTCCGTTATATATGATTTAATTCGTTTTATTCGTTATATATAATACGAATATGTTTTAGTCGTAAGCGCCTAAGCAATAACAAGAAGCAGCAGTTACAGTAAATGAAACGTCAGGGGTAAATGTAAATGAAAAAGGAGACGTGAGATTACGGCCACTGCTCTGGTTTTACTTATTTTTTTTTTTTTTTTTAACGAAATCACAATTAAAGAAAGAAATAGCAGAAAATAAACGCGAAAAGCAATAATTTTACAGCACAGATATATGGAACATCGAGAAAAACAAGTTTACGAGTTTCAATAAATTTCATATCGACTTTTGACACACGGTTTTAACTTTGCGATTCTTGAGTTTCTTTCTTTTTCTTTTGTTACTCACGTTGCATTCGACAACTTCCTTATCCGTAAATAGTATGAGAAATAAGTTTTATCATGTTTCAAGAGCGCGAAGATGAATATTAAGATATTTATACAAGGGCTCTTTCGCAAACCTAAAATCTGCACAGCTAAGGAACAGGAACGATTATGCATTTTCCTCTTCTCGTCACAAGAGCTTGAACTTCACGTTGCATAGGGTGATTTAAAGGAGCACTGGACCCGCTAGATATTGATTTTACGCTCACCGTGTTTTCCGTTCAAACACGGGCTCGTCGAAGAGAAAGGAGAATAGATCGCGATTTCGTTAAATCGAATCCTGCCAACTCTCGCCCACTTTCTCGAGATCTAGTCGCCATTGCCACCTTTCTATCTGATTAAATTTATCGATCTTTCTTCAAATTCTTAGCATCGTAAAATTGCAAAGAATTCTATATTCTTAATTCTATAGCCGATTCCATCGAGTTTATCGATGAATTGTTTAGAAGCTTTGAAAGTTTCGAAAATTTTCAATTAATAAACTCTAATTCTAATTTGTAACTTTGCATAGTTGACATAATGCACAAAATTGTCTTTGTTTTGTTAATAACGTGCTTAACAAAATTATAACTTTAGACGATATTGAAACAATATTAATAGGTAAGGTAAACAGGGACAAGAAGATCGATTGTTTTAATTACAGCGATCCGACGATTATATAATAGTTGCAAATACTTCCTAATAATTGATCGAATTTGAATATTGGCGCCAATTAAATATCCTTGGAAGGAAGGAGCCATCTACGAAATGACAAAACCATCGGTACTTTATTACGTATTAAGATAGAAAATAATAATTTTACCAGACGTTGCACAGTTTTATTCCTATCATTTCGTTTGTTCATTTATATTTTCAGCTATGGAACACGTACCTGCCGTTATTTCGAAGAAAGCGACCGACGATCGTTTGTCAAAATCGAATGTCGATAAGCTGATTTACTATAGATAAATACAGGAATCCGATCAAGTGCACCATACTGACGAGAGTGCACGAATACGATACGACGGTCAACCGAAACCATCGCGATTGGCAATATATTGAAAAATTATCGAAATCGCTGGATTGGCTCTCCCTGTTTGTAAATGCTTACCAAATATCGTATTGTATTTTATTGTAATTCGTAATCAATTCTCTTCGGCAAACTGATCAAGAACGTTCTCGTACGAACCGATAAAGAGTAATAAATTGCATAGAGCAAACTTTATGACGTTAATGTTGTTACTGTGCACGGCTCCGTTTTATCGCGTAAATGAATCTTCACTCTTCCAATAGCGACGAAAATATTACATTGTGCAGATACGTCGTTTTACCCTTCGTATCGCCACCTTTCTTTTGGCGCCAAACGTGAGCGCGTGGTTCTCCCAGAGTTCCTCGAGAGTCGCGATTAATCACAGCATGAAACGCGATACGTTACGTAAACATTTTTTATTCTTTAGCTTCACGTGTCATTTTTACGATTTAACGTACGACTGTAACAACATAGCGATATGCCGCGACCAACGACCGTCTTCACATTTATATATATTTTATTATGTAATGCGTACATATATACGCATATTATGTACAATCCAGGTCTCTGTAGTTTACCTCTATTTTCTCTAGGAGAATATTCCATTACCTAGCTTACTTGTAATTACTTATAATTAATTAAATGATTATGCGACTCTCGTTGTATCGATTGTATTTTGTAGATATTACGTTAAACGTTGAAATATAGTATTAAAAGTTCTTTCTCGTACGGTATACGGTAAAATACGCCAGAAAGCGTATAAAATATCGTAGTTTTCTCTAAATTAAATATCGATGACATAATTAACGTCAAAGTAGATGAAAGGAGGAATTATTTGAACACGGTAAACGTATCTGGCTGAATATTTAAAAAAATAGATCATACGCGATGAGAGGTATTCAACAGGTGTTTAAAAGCCTCTAAATATTTAACAATCGTATCGTTGTATTTTATTTCGCGGTATCTCGTCCAACTATCTATCTATGTATATTTTCATGAGTTAACAAAGTATCATTTAGCAAATGATTATGATAACGGAAATAAAATTATCCGTAAAAGGATATTATAACGTTACACACTGAATAAAATTGGCAAAAAGAGTAATTCCGAAAATTCCGCGACCAAATCTCATTATCTCTTTATCTCTTTATCTCTTTATAATTTTGTTATATTCTCTCTTCAAGCACCACGTTATAAAGCATTTCGTTGATAAATACCATAGATAGAATTGGAATAAAATATTTCGATCGATAATGTACTTAAAAAATTCCGTCTTTTTCAACTTGAAAAAAATAGACACGTCGGAGCATAAAATCCTCTTGAAGAGAAATACTCGGGGCAAACACGGCATTAACGTCGAACCGATGAAATAAGAATTAAACGACATTGCATCCTCCTACCCTTTGCGATAGTTGCGCACTCGCGGATACAACCGTTTTTAATCGAGACGATTTTCTTAGCGAGCAAACAAGGAACGGTCAATCTCCGCGTTATCCTCGTTGTTCTTCCTTTCCGTTACCATCTTACCGATTTCTTTATACGTTAGAGTTAGAGTTTTGCGAACGAAAGAATTCGCGATTTCTTTGAATCGTACAGAATCGAGGGAATCTAATTAATCCGCGACGGGAATCGATCGAACACCTCGAGAGTCGATATTCGAGAAATTTTTTTTTCAATTTTCCGTCTCTCGACCCGGTCTCGAACGTTTCGTTCGGTCGCCTTGATAGAGACGAATCGCCTAACGAAAAAAAGACTCGATGGTCCCGGTTCTTCTTTGCTTCTAGTTTAGGCGTTTTTGCTCCTATGTTTCGAAAAAGTGGACCGTTGGCTTCGTCCCGCGACATCTTACGAAGGATCGTTGTCGCATTCGGAATCGATTTCCGCTTGATGCATGTATATGGTTAAGTAGTTGGGTCTAGAAGAGAACGAGAGACTTTACTCTTTGTCCCTGGTGTGAGATTTAGCGAAATTGGATGTTGGAGATTGAAAATCGGTTCCCGCGTCAATGATAAACTGCGTAATCTGGTTAAATTTGAAAGAACGATTTATAAATTGATAAAATGATAACTGCATATCGGAAAGTAGATTCTATTGAGAGTAGGCACACGTATTTATTATACAAGGAACGAAGAAATATCACGCGGCATCGAGTTACTGATTTTTATTGCCTTTTGCGTTACCTTTATTCATGGCTAAAAATATACGCGTCAAACAACATTTACGTATTTATATACATAACGATATATACATATGCATATACAGGATCGCCACGATTTTTCGGACTTTTTCGCTCATCTGACGAAAAAATGTTTCCAACGTGATCTAATCCGTGCTCGGTCAGCGACAAATTTTAAAAATAACAATTTTAAAGCGCGTAACTACGCCTGGATACGCCTAAATTGTTGCGTAACACAGGTAGCCTTGAAACTTAACATTGGAAACTGAACAGGATTGAAATGAAAAAAGGAAGGCGGG